CTGTGTATCTATCTTTCAGCCATGGCTGGAGCTGGAGCTGCAGGGATGCAGGCAGCAGTGTCCTGAGGATGCACACAGCAGCGAGGCCATGGAGCTGGCCCAGGAAACCATTCTCTCCTAGGCCCCAGGGCCTGTGACAGCAAGGGCTGTTGCAAAGGTCTCTGAAATGCCATCAAGGCCTTTTCCCCATAGTCTTGGCTATTTGCACTCGGCTCTTTTTTATGCAAATACTCTTAAGTGTTCTTGAATTTTTCCCCCTGAAAATCAGCTTCTCTTTGTGACCACTTGGCTAGGCTGCAAATTCTTCAAATTTTTGAGCTCCACTTCCCATTTAAATAGAAGTTGCAACTTGAGGTCATTTCTTAGGTTGCACATAAGAATACAGGCTGTTGAACGAAGAGGACACTTCTTGAGCTATGCTGCCAAGATGTTCATTCCACCAGATACATCCTAAATCATCACCCCCATGTTTATAGTTTCACAGATCTCCAGGGCTAAGGCCAATCAAATGTAACCTTGGCTCCTGTTCACAGGAAATTCCTCATTTTCATCTGAGACCTTTTAAGTCCGGCCTTCGCTGTCCATCCTTCTGTCAGCCTTCTCATCACAAGTATTTAACAATTCTTCTCAGTGGTCCAAACTTTTCCTCATCTTGCTGTCTTCTACGCGTTCCCAACTCTCCCGACCTCTGTCTTTTACCTACTTCTGAACCTGCTTCTACATTCTCAGTTATCTTTGTCACAGCCTGGTAATGTGGTAAAAGAAGAAAAGTCCATTTTCAGGGGAAAATTCACGAAGGCTTTCAGATATTTTCATGAAAAGAACGTGGGTGCTGGTTGCCAAGACAGTGGGGAAAAGGCCTTGAAGGCATTTCATAGCTCCACTTCACAGCACTAATTTTGTGTATAATCATAAAGAAAAGAGGTTTAATTGGCTCACGGTTCTGCAGGCTGTAAAGGAAGCATAGTGGCTTCTGCTTCCAGGAGGACTCAGGAAGCCTCCCAATCATACCAGAAGGCCAAGGGGCACCGAGATGCTTCATATGGCAGGAGTAGGGGCATGACTGAGAGAAGAGGTGCCACACCCTATTATACAACCAGATCTCATGAGAATTCCATATCACAAGGTCAGCATCAAGAAGATGGTGCGTAACCACTGGTGAAGGATTCGCCCCTCTATCCCCACCTCCACCTCCACTTCCCACTGTCTCCAGGCAGAAGCCTGCTGCACAGGCAGAGCCAGATTCATAGACCCAACAACAGCTTGCACCCTCAGTGTGGAAAAGCTGCAGGCACTCAACACTAGCCCAGTCCATAAGAGCAGCCACGGGGGCTAAAACTTGCAAAGCCACAGGTGCACTGTCCTAGTAGAGGTTGTCCATGAGGCTGTGCCTCTGCAGCAGGCGACTCCCTACTCCCACTACACCCCACCCTTCCACCACCCTACAGCCAGCCTACTCCTCCTCACCCTACCCACCCCTTTTTCCTTCCACCCGACCTGCCTCCCATCCATGATTAAATCACTCCCGCCAGGCCCTCTTCCTTCTGTCATTCTCCAATCCCTCCAAACCCTTCCAACCTTTGTTTGCTAGCCACTATGAGCCTGCTTCTACTTTTTCAGGTATCTCTAGAGTGGGGTTGGCTATGTAGTAATAACACAAAACCTGATATAAGGGGGGAAAATTCAAGACTTCAGAAACTTGCATATACAAAAGCCCTGTGCAAATTAGCCAAGACAAATGGAAAAACGCCTTCAAGACATTTCACAGCTCCTCTCTGCAGTTCTAATTTTCTGTATTATCGTAAATAAAAGAGGTTTAACTGACTCGGGATTCTGCAGGCTGTGAAGGAAGCATAGTGTCTTTTGTTTCAGGGAGGAGTCAGGAAGCCTCCTAATTATATCATAAAGCCAAGGGACGACGAGATGTCTCCTAAGGCAGGAGTAGGAGGAACACAGAATGAGGACAGAGGTTCCACAGCCTGTTAAACAACCAGATCACATGAGAACTCACTATCAGGACAGCATCAAGGGGATGATCCTGTATCATTCGTGAAGGATCTACCCACACCATTTTAGGACTAAATCTTTTTCCACCTAGGCCCCACCTCTAACATTAGGGAGTATAATTCCACATGAGTTTTGAAAGGGACATAGAGACAAACCATATTATTCTGTCCCTGACCCTACGAACTTCATGTCCTTCTCACATTGCAAAATACAATCATGTCTTGCCAGCATGAGTCTTAACTCATTTCAGCATTAACTCAAAGTTACAAAGTCCAAAGTCTCATCTAAGTTAAGGCTCCAGTCTCTTTTTCCCTATGAGTCTCTGAAATAAAAAGCAAGTTCACTGCTTCTAAGGTACAATGATGGTACAGGCATTGTGTAAGCTTTCCATATCCAAAAGGAAGACATTTCCCAGAAAGCTTCTTATTTCTATCTGAGGCCTCCTCAGCCTGGCCTTCACGGTCCATGTTTCTGTCAGGATTTTTGTCACAACCATTTAACCAGTCTCTAAGATGGTCCAAACATTTTCTCATCTATCTGTCTTCTTTTGAGCCCTCCAAACTCTTAAAATGTCTGTCCATTACCTAGTTCCAAAGCTGCTTCCACATTTTCAGGTATCTTTATAGCAATGCTCCAGTCCTTATTTGCCATTTTCTGTATGATTCATTTTGAAAAACAGGTTTAATTGGCTTATGGCTCTGCAGGGTGGACAGGAAGCACACTGGCTTCTGCTTCTGGGAGGCCTCAGAAACCTTTCAATCTTCGTGCAAGGTGAAGAAAGAGAATTGTCTCACATGGCAAGAGGAAAACATGCAGAGTAGGGAGGTGACATAGAGTTTTCAATGACCAGGTCTCATGAGAAGTCACTCATGATTGTGAGGACAGTAGCAAGAGGATGGTGCTAAACCATTCATGAGAAATTTGCCTTCAGGATTCAATCACCTTAGACCAGGATCTACCTTCAACATTAGGAAATATAATTCAACATGAGATTTGGTGGGGACATATATTCGAATTGCATCATCAGTCTTTGAGTATAAAGACATCCACATCAGGCTTTATACAGCCAGCTTCTTTGAGACTCTTCACACGGTTTGAAGTCTACAGCATATATACTAAAATATTCATACTTTAAAAAGCAATAAAGTAAGTGGTATCTTTCTTCCAAAAGTTACACTGGTAGTGTAGGCAATCATAGCATGATTTAGTTCATCTTTGCTACTCTTTCTATTCTATCACCATATTAACTGTTTCCTACACAATTCTATATTCAGCTGAGTTTCAACTGAGAACAAAAGCATCCTTGTCCTACCACCAACAGCTGGCATTAGCTCTTTTTTAGTGTTATTATTCTGCTGTAGAAAGTATCCTTGAACTGGAAACAGTCCACAAAGGAGTATCTAGTCATTTAACACTATCAATTCCTGGGTGACTTTTTGAAAAAATAGTATCTCTTGTTGCAAGAAATGCTGCATCTGTGAGTCCATGTTTCTCACTCAAATTGGATGAAAGTGGTGAATTTCAGCCACAGTGTCCCAAGAAATCCTGTTCCTGTGATTCTGATGTCATCGGCCTCTGCACCTCTGTCTTCCCTTCTGCCCCACATTGCCTGCTTTTCGTGACATTGGTAAAAGCTTCCTTGTGTATGTGGATGATGTCTAGGATGTTGGCCTGGTGTCCCTGAGACAGCCCTAACAGGTCCATGACTGGGTCCAGGTCCTGCCTGGGTTGACTGGCAAAGAGCTCACTGATGGTGTTGAAGGCATCTCTGGTGAAATGATGGCCTGTTCCAGCTCCAAGACCTGGCCGAGGCTGAAGAACTGGCTGCCTTCTGATGCTCTTTCTTAAAGCCTGTCCCCGTCATCTGCTTGCATGTCAACTCACTGGCTGTGAAGTTGAGCTGAGCGTCCTGCTGTCCATCTTCTTGGTGAATCACTCGAAGCTGTCAATCTTGCTCTCCCACTCCTAAAGGTTGAGGGTCATCCTGGGGGTGGGCTCAGGGTCAGGAAGAAGCTGGAATTCACCATCTCATCCTTCTCAGCCTACCTCTTGCCCTGTCTCCAGGCTCTTCAGTGCTGGTGGGGCACATCAGGAAGTGATGGAAGATGTGGCACTGTGCCCGCACCCAGAAGCTGGCCGTGCGGTTCATCCACTAGATTGGGCCCTTTCTGTACTTGAGCAGAGTCCCCCTCAAGATGGCCTGTGGTCTGCCTCTTGGCACCCAAGAAGCCCACAGTGCTGTAGGAGCCCTGAAGCATGGACTGGGGCCCCAAGGGCAGCACACACCCTGCTCCTGAGCCTGCTGCTCATTTTCTCTATGTGGCTCCATTTGTAGCACAGTTGTTGCACTGAGGCCTGTGCATGCCAGGCAAGGCCAAACTGGCTCAAAGAGCAACCAGCCACCTCTGCAAGGGTGTGCCAGGAGCAGGTGGACCAGCCACCAACCTCACTCGCTGCCCTCAGGGTAAATCAGTAATTCTGCCCTGGAGGTAGGGCCCCAGTGCCATCTGCTTTTCCTCAGGCCTCCGCTCCATCAGCCATCAGATGGCAGCTACTCAGGCTGCGGGACCTGGCCACCCCTGCTTCCTTGAGTGGGTGAGGCTGGTGGCTGGTCTACCTGCTCCAGGCACACCCTTGCAGAGGTGGCTGGTTGCTCTTTGAGTCAGCTTGGCCTTGCCTGGCATGCACAGGCCCTGGGTATTAACAAGCTGCGCTGAGTGAGCTTGTCCTGTCTTGTGCCAAATTCTAAGTCTGGCCAGGGCCACAGAAGGCTGAGTCCCCTGGGTAGTAATCCTGGCTGCTGCTGGAGGGCCCACAGTGCCTCTCCCCTCCCAGGGCCCAGGATGAGGCCCGACTGGGTCAAGACCCTTTAGATATGGATCTTGTTCCCCAGGAGGGGGCCTCTGTCCCACAGGTTGGGTGAGAAGATGTATGGCATGCTGCTGGCTGCTAGGGTTGTTGGGAGGCCACGTTTACCCTTTCCTCCAGGGATATCAAAGTTTCCAGCTTCCCCTTTGAGAACGACTTCCCAAGGCCCAGGTGCCATCTGGGGCTGCAGGGCAGCTGTCCGCATGCTGCCCTGGCTTCTTCCATGTTGTGCTCATCACTATCCACCAAGGGAGGTCAGATGCAGGCACCATGCAGGGCAGTTGTCTCTGGACCTGCGTCTTGGTTATCATGGAGCCACACTGGGCCTGGTGACAGGGCCCTGATGGGGTTGTCCTGGGGTTGTCCAGAGGAGATGCAGAATGGAATTGCTGTGAGGATGAATGAGATGACTCTCAGCACAGAACAGGCACCTGGTGAATGCTCAGGGATTACCCTCAGTAGCTGCCCAGAGGCCAAAACCACCCACCTGATAGTGACTGTCCCCAAGCCAGGAGGAAGAGAAGAGAGCAGGTCCCACTCACCTGAGTCTGATCAGTCAGCTGTGCTGAGATGTGCCTCTCACCTAGAAAACAGTCCTTCATGCAGAGCCACCCACAGACACTGCTGTGTGTCTCTTACTGCTCCACAACACAGAGGTGATGGGGACTCAGCAATAGCGACATTGTGGGATGACACAATCCACCACAACGGGAGCCTGCTTGGGTCAAGAGTGCTCAGAGTCAGTGTCCTCTATCCCCTGAACTGACATGTGTGCATGCATTGTGTTTGTGCATGCGTGTGTGTGTGTGTGTGTACATATGGGTGTGTGTGTTTGTCTTGCTTCTCTGGCCAGGCCTAGCTGCTCCACTCACAGGAGCACCCGCGTCCTCATCACTGTCACTACCAGGGCCCAGGGCCAGGATTAGAGCCTCCACAGGTGCTCCCCAAACTCTACCCTCCCCACTGAGGGTTGTCCTGGGGATGCAGACAGAGGAAGGGCACCGGGCAGAGCAGAGAGGGCTGGCACCCTCTCTAGGTGGAACCCAGGTCGTGTGTAAAGTTGTAGGTCTGTCTGTATTCAACACATCTTCTCTCATTCTCTTTCCAGCAACCCTCCAGGGTGTCCTAACTCAGCTTCCCTACAGATGGAGGCAAGAAGGCTCCACAGACAAACCCCCTGCCTGAGGTCACACAACGGCCAACTGGCCAGGTTCCTACTGACCAGGTGCCCCCAACCAGGTCCCCACTGATGAGGCCCCTAATGACCACTTCTCCATTGACCAGGTCCCACTGACCAAGTCCCCACTGACCATGTCTCCCTAACCAGGCCCCCATTAATAGGCCTCATGGACCAGACCCCACTGACCAATTTCCCACTGATCTGGTCCCCATTGACTGGGTTCCCACTGACAAGACCACAATTTACCAGGTTGCCGCTCACCCCAACCCCACTGAACAGTTCTCCATGGATCAGTGCCCAGCTGACCAAGCCCTCTCTGACCAGGCCCTCACTGACCAGGCTCCAAGCCACTAAGGCCCCACACTGACCAGGCCCCTAATATACTGAGTTGACCCCACCAACCAGTTTTTTATAGTTTATGTTTCAACCAATCAGGCCCCACTAATAAGGCCACCACTGACCAGGTCTCTACTGGCTAGGCTTCCAATGACTAGGTCACCAGGTCCCCACTGGTGAGGCCTTCACTGAGGAGGCCACTGCTAACCAGGTCCCTGCTGATCAGGTCCCAACTGACCAGGTCCTGATGACCAGGTCATCTCTGACCATGGTCCACTGATGAGGCCCCTGAGCAGTGGTGCTCAAAGTCTCATTACAATGCCCCCATCAGCCCACAGACCCTCCCTCCCTGCATGTGTGCCCAGAGGTCAGGCCTTGGGGGTTTTCTTGGGCCCCAAGGCCTCTCCTCCAAGACACAGGGAGGGACAGTCAGCCTCAGGCTCCAGGTGCCCAGCTTCACACTTGCCCCCCAAGGCCCTCTGGGCCCATCTCAAAGGAGATAGTGAGATGGCCTGGCACTGCCTGGACATGCCATGTAGCCTATTCCTGAGTGTCAGAGTGGGAAGAAGGAAGGGACATTTGGCAGGCAAGACACCCTGTTCTTCTGGGTCTCCCAGGCCCTTCCCGCAGAGCCCCGATCTAGAGACACGGCACAGAGGTTGCAGAGAGACTAATCCAGAACCCTTGAGGCTGAGCCAGAGACCACATGAGGATTGTCCCCGGACAGCTAGAAGGCCCTTCGCTAGTTTCTTGGTACCTCAGTGGATGCAGCAGTGGTTCTTCTGTCGGGGACTAGTAAGTGTGTGCTGGGGAGCGCTCACCTGTGTTTCCTCGGTGGCTCCAACTCTGCTTCTAAGAAAAATCACTCATTCCGGCCCTGGGGCAGAGAAAATACAAGATTAGCTTAGAACATTTTATGCCAGAAAGTTAAAAACTGCTGACAGAGTAACAGGGACAAATCAAAAAGACACAAAGTCAGCTTGAAATGTCTACTACTGACCTAATCTTGGGGAATTGGAGCACAAGAATCATAAGCTTTCCCTTCTCCTTTATTTATTGTTTTTGTTTGTTTTTGAGATGGAGTCTCGCTCTGTTGCCCAGGTTGGAGTGCAGTGGCACAATCTCGGCTCACTGCAAGCTCCACCTCCCAGGTTCACGCCATTCTCCTGCCTCAGCCTCCCGAGTAGCTGGGACTACAGGCATCCGCCACCATGCCTGGCTAATTTTTGTATTTTTAGTAGAGACGGGGTTTCACTTTGTTAGCCAGGATGGTCTCGATCTCCTGACCTCGTGATCTGCCTGGCTTGGCCTCCCAAAGTGCTGGGATCACAGTTGTGAGCCACTGCACCCGGTCTTATTTATTGGTGTTATTTCTCCATGTAGAACAACGAAGAGAACAAGAAAATCATCTGGCAACCATCATAGTAATGCTTGTTCAAACACAAGTCACCCACGAAATGCTAAATCTAATGGGTTTTGAGGAGTAACCAGATATTTACAGAGCCTCAAAGTATTTCCACACAAAATATGGTTGAACTACACATTTAAAATCATAACATTAGTATGGACAAACCTGGCAGGTACTCTTTAAGTCTCCTACTATATAGAGCAATAAAACCTGTAAAATGCAAATAAGCCTTTGATGACCTTTACTAAAGTATCAACGATGACTTGGTTGTTTGGCTGTTTAAACAGCTGACATTTGGGCAATTTGAGTATGCCCAACCCAATAATACTGGTGTTCATTTGCAAGATCCACTTAAAACTTAAGAAGGCTAAAAAATGTCATTTAAAATACCATATAAATTTTCAACATACATATGACACAGAAATATTCTAGTACATGAAAAATTTAGTAAAGATTGTGATGTTATATATTTTATGAGAAACAATTAAAATTTCATGTAAATAGCCCAGTAATAAAGTTTCATAATCTTTTAAATCATAAAATTTGTCCTTAAGATTTTACGGTTAAATATTCTCTTGATTAGATGTGGCTTACCAGTGGATTCTAGAGAAGAAAGTAGATGGGAGCAAGTGCCCAACACAGCAAAAGCTGGAAAGAAAAAGAAAGAATTACGTTCTTTACCTAAAACATTTCAGTTAACTAAGTGTGAGTTTAAAATGTAAAGAGTTGAGAACATTATCAGAGTTAATAAGAATGAGAAATATGTATGTACAATTACAATCCAAAATTACTATTAAATAATCTACACATAGCATAAATTCTAACTGTGGTTAAATATCATAGCTTTTTCATTCTTCATTCATGTACTCAACAGCCACGTTCTAAGGTACTGAAACTAGCACTGGAATTACAAGATGAAGATGGCATGGTCCACCTCTCAACAGTCATATGCTATAACCTAAAAAACAGACAGGCAGGCAATGTCCATATAGTCACAGATACCATGACAGGTATACAGCAGGGCACTACTGGAACACACAGAAGGGACACCTATCACACTTTTGTGTCAATATCATGGGCTTTCTGGCGGAGGAGATCCATAGGTTGATGCCTAAAGGACAAGGAAAAGCTCGCCAGATAGAGGGAAAAGGCAAAGGCAAAGAGCCTGAGGTGACCAACAGCCCGGTGGAGTTCTACTCCACCCACTTTGGTACTAGAGCAAAGGGCAGAGTGCGGTAAGTGGTGAGAGACAAGGCTGAGTAACTTGACAAGAATTACATTGACATGGGTGTTTTTATTTCATGGTGAAAATTTTGGAACTTTTCTTGAGAACAGATGTAAGTCAATGACACAGTAAACGACAGGAGATTTAAAAGATCACCTGTCAAGCGACTGCTTATGAAGGGTTATTGCTCAGTTAAGTATTTCTAAATGAGTCTGAGGTCTGTTGGCCTTCAATCTCCACCAAAACCCTGAGAACTTGATAATGCCTTTGTTTTCGGAGAATCCTTTCAGTGTGCTGGCTGACAGTTCCATGAGGATGGCAAAAGTGAAGAAATTGTAGAGTCAGTGAAAAAGAGATGGCTACACTTCTCGGGAATTTTTTAAGCTATGGAACATGATGAATTAATGGTGCATAAGTATACTCTTCACTGTGAAAGTTTTTGTTTTCACATCTTTCATTAGATGTGTGCAAGAAAAAGATACTGAACATAGTATCTACTAACCCACAATGAAAAGGAATGCCATCTGCTATTTACACTTTATTACTAAAATAAACCTAAATTTAATTAATAAATTTTGGCAACATACTTTTCTTTGTTTCTCTAATTATTTGTTCTACACAGTCTGGCTCCACCTAAAATAAGTAAAAAAAAAAAAATGTTTAAATTAAACAAGAGACAGTATCATGAGAATAATAAATCACTTACAAAATGTGGCCTTTAGTATTTTTAGTGACTAGATATAACATGAAGTTTGCTTAAATAGAAAAATAATCACATAATAAAGTAAAATTTCTACTTAAGTTTAGATAATAGGGGATGTATCTGTGTAATGCTGTTTAGAGTAATCTGACAAAAATAGATAACATTGGTCTGTTGGATATACATAATTTTAGAAAGGTGGTGTTTATTAGTACAAAGGTTAAACAATGGCAGGGCATGACAGCTCATGCCTGTAATCCCAGCACTTTGGGAGACAAAGGTGGGCAGATCACAAGGTCAAGAGATCAAGACCCATCCTGGCCAACATGGTGAAACCCTATTTCTACTAAAAATACAAAAATTAGCTGGGCATGGTGGTACGTGCCTATAATCCCAGCTACTTGGGAGGCTGAGGCAGGAAAATCGTTTGAACCCAGGAGGCGGAGGTTGCAGTGAGCCGAGATCGTGCCACTGCACTCCAGCCTAGTGACAGAGCGAGACTCCATCTCAAAAAAGAAAGAAAAAAAAAAAGTTAAACAATTAAAGTCATATTTTGCAATGAATGCATTGCTTTGAAATTCTTAGCAAAACTCTGTCCTTTATAAAAGTTCAATCCAATTTTTTACTTCAATAAATTTTTTCTTAAAAAGAAATTTATATTCTTTACTTATAGAAAAAAATTTTTATAGTAAATGTTTCTTGCTTTTTTTTTTTTTCTAGTTTGTATGCTAAATTAAAGTGGTACTGGTGTAAGTTTCTTTCAAAGGTATATTGAGGGATGCTGAGGTTTGGAGTACAATTGAACCCATCACACAGGTAGTGAGCATATGACCCAGTAAGGAACCCTGGCCCACTCTGTCCCTCCCCGTTCTTATTTCCCAGTGTCTACTGTTCCCATGTTCACGCCAATGTGCACCTAATGTGTAGCTCCCACATGTGAGTGAAAACAAGATATTTGGTTTCTGTTTCTGCCTTAGTTTCCTCAGGATAGAGGATTCCAGCTGTATCCATGTTGCTGCAAAGGACATGACTTTGTTCTTTTCATGACTGCATAGTATTCCATGGTGTATATGGAATTTTCCAATCTACCTTGGATTTTCAATCACCCAATCCTTGGGTGCACCTGGATTGACTCCATGTCTTTCTATTGTGAACAGTGCTGCAATGAACATACAGGTGCATGCATCTTTTTGTTACAATGATTTATTTTCCTTCAGGTATACCCCTAGTATAGTAATGGGGTTGCTGCATGTGGGATTACACGTGCCTGCCACCACGCCTGGCTAATTTTTATAGTTTTAGTAGAGACAGGGTTTCATCATGTTGGCCAGGCTGGTCTCAAACTCCTGGTTTCAGGTGATCCATCTGCCTCGGCCTCCCAAAATGCTGGGATTACAGGCGTGAGCCACCGCACCTGGCCAACCACAAATCTTTTAACAGAAAAATGGAAATGACTCTTTCAGTGTCTTGTTTATTTAATTCATAAAATGCACTTATTTTGGATTCTATTAAATAATAAATATCTATGTGTGGTTAAGTGTTTGGTTGCCAGTCATTCACTTGTGATTATGGGTGGGAAGAGTTAAGATGGTGCAAAGAAACTTTAAAAGTGGTATGGGCTGGGCATGGTGGCTCATACCTGTAATTCCAGCACTTTGGGAGGCTGAGGTGGGTGGAGCACAAGGTCAGGAGCTTGAGATCAGCCTGGCCAATATGGTGAAATCCCATCCTTACTAAAAATACAAAAATTAGCTAGGTGTGGTGGTGGGCACCTGTAGTCCCAGCTACTCGGGAGGCTGAGGCAGGAGAGTCACTTGAACCCGGGAGGCGGAGGTTGCAATGAGCTGAGATCATGCCACTGCACTCTAGCCTAGGCAACAGAGCAAGATTCCTTCTCAAAAAAAAAAAAAAGGTGATGTGAACCACAGACAAACTACAATCAAGTAGAGTAAGACAAAGCATCTCAAAGTATACCATCAGTTAGTAGGCAATAACATGCAATTTCTAAAACCTAACTTAAATGCAGCTTTTAAAGACATTTTAAATGTGTCAGTTTAGTCACATTTATTGAATAAACTTAGCAAATGGGTATCTCTCTTGAAAATGAGAGCTCCAGTGAATTAAAAAATGTAAAGTTCCCATTTCCTTTCTGTGTTAACACAGGTAATTATAATCTTCACTTAACATGCATAAGTCAACAGAACAACTCAGTATTTCACCAAATTATAAACAAGAATTATATTAAAGAAATGAAACCCAAAAGAGAAA